AGTCGCTCGCACGAAGCCTTCCTGGGCTGGCCTGGGCAACCTGTTCTGGCGGAGTTCGGCGCCGCCTTGAAATGCGGCCGTTGTTTCGCCAGCGCCTGCCTTTGCAGGTGAGTTCTCGGGCGGCCCAAGCAATCCTTTCTCTGCGCACGTCGGGGCGTTTTTAAGACGGACGCATTCAATATCATCCGCCACTTCTCCTCCTCCTCCTCCTTCTCCTCCTCCTTCTCCTCCTCCTCCTCCTCCTCTGCGTGTTTCTTCACCTCCTCGTTCTCCTCCTTGGCCTCCTCTTCCTCCTCCTCCTCCTGCTTCTCCCTCCTCGGGAGGCGGCGGGTCGCGGAATCATTGTGAGGGGGAGGGTGGAGTGGGATGAATGCGTGGGGGAACAAAGGGGAGGACGGGAAGTCCTGGGCACAGCGGTCAGTTCGGAATTTTCATGCAGTCAATCCGCACAGTAAGGATGGGCAACTTTCCTCAGGGTACCCTTGAATTCTTGCCCCTTCGGCCCATCCCTAGCGACTTTCGCTGGCAAGCCTCGTTCGAACAAAAACGTTTCATGGCCCTCCAAGGCCTTCCCATGTGGTTAAGGCCAGTCCAATGTGGTTAAGGAGGACGGAGGCATATGAGGGGGAAGAGGATGGGGAGGAGGAGAAGGAGGTGGAGGAGGAGGAGGAGGAGGTGGAGGCGAAGGAGGAGGAGGAGGAGGGAGAGGTAAAGGAGGAAAAACAAGGGAATGAGGGAGAGGAGGAGGAGGAAGAAGAGGAGGAGGAGGAGGAGGAAGAGGATGAGCATGAGGAGGAGGAGTTGGGCGGCGATGATGATGCAGCTGTGAGACAGTGATGAGGATGGAGTGATGATGCAGCTGTGAGACAGTGAAGGGGAAAGGAGAGAGAGAGAGAGAGGAACAGAGAGAGAGAGAGAACGCGATAGCGAAGAGAGGTGGGAGACTCGGGACGGTTCGGGACGTTCTCGCTGTGGTCCCGGGGGTTCGCCCCAGCTGCTGGGGTGCTGCCTCATCCTGCCTGGCCTCCCTCGACCCTCTTATTCCCGCTTGCTCTTCCTCCTCTTCTTCTTTCTCCCGATCATCAGAAGTCATCCCCGGCCCACATTGACGTCGATCCCCGACCCCCCCCCCCGGTCCCTTCCCTGGCATTCGTCGGCCCCCTCTGATGTCGGCCCCCCCGCCAGCCCCGCCCTCCTCGGGCCTCGTCGATCCTCGGAAGGCCTGCCTCGCTGCGTCGATCAAGATCTGAGTCTGGCGCGCTGAGCACGTCGATCAAGATCTGTCACCAAGGGCTCCCCCGAGGGCGCGAAGTTATTCGCGCTTCGCGCTTCGCGGTCCTCGTTCCTTCTCCCCCTCCTCCTCGTCCTCCTCTTCTCCCCCTTGGAGGGCGGCGCGAGAGCGCGAAGTTATTCGCGCTTCGCGCAGCGCGAAGCGCGAACTTAGGAGCCCTTGCTGAGTCTGGCGCGCTGAGCACGTCGATCAAGATCTGTCACAGAACCCCTCCCCAGGTCCATGCAGGCCAGATCTCTCATTACGAGATACGTTTCTGATGGCCACTGGTTCCAAATCACTGGGCTCCAGGTGCCGAGCAAGCTGGGCTCGTCTGTGGAGCAGGCCCAATGGCTGGGCTCCAGGGCTAGCTGTGTCCTACATCGCTGGGCTCGTTTGTCGATCCTCCTCCCGCGCGTGCGGCGAACATGTCCATGTCCATGCGCTCGCATTCTTGGCATCGGGGTGCAATCCAATGGATACGCTCGGCGCGGGGTACCCCGCGAAGCTGAACCGTGTCCACAGCGTGGCGGCCGAAGGCTCCAGACTTCGAGGCAGCGGGTATGGATTCCAGGGGCAATTGCAGGAGGGCACAGGCGCAGGGCGGGACGCAGCGATCCCCGATCGCACATTGATCGCGCGACGGGGGCCTGATGTCGGGAGACTCTTCATGGGGGGGGATCCCATGGGGGATACGATCCCAGGGGGGGGATCCCATGGGGGGGGCAGGAGGGGATCCCATGGGGGGGATCCCCTCCTGCCCCCTCATGGGATCCCCCCCCATGGAGAGTCTCCCGATGATGGACCACCCCGCCCAGGTCCGTTCGGACTCGTGGTCGGGGGCCCGCCGCTTAAGCTCTCGGCGACGTGTCGCCGATTCTGGGGCGATGCTTTCTCCCCCCGAGCTGGCCCTCCCGAATTTCCCCTTTCCAGAGAAAGGAAGAGGGGGAGGCTTCGAGAGGTCTGGAGAGGGGGGTGGAGGACTATAGAACTGGGGCCCCCCTCTCGTGCAGACGGTCCTGTGCTCGAAAGGGTATCGCCTGCGCCCCTCTGGCGATGCTGTGCCGTGGACGTTGTGGATCCCCGCCTCTCGATCCTCGCCGCTCTCTCTTCTTCTTCCTCCTCCTCCTCCTCCGCCTCCTCCGCCTCCTCCTCCTCCTCCTCCTCATCGCCCTCACGCTGCAGGTGGACGCGCGGATCGAGGCCGTGTCGCGCGAGGTCTGGAGCGCCTTGACGGAGGCTCGGCGGGGCGTCCGCTGCAGCACGCCGGTGACCATCTCGTCGGGGCCGCTGCGGGGTCGAGACTCCGCGTGTGGCAAACACAGGTACGTGTTACACGTGAATGCATGGTAACAAGATGTGCATGACTGTATACCTGTATGCGTCTGTGTGACATCCAGTTTGTGCATATGTGCATACATATATACATATATGGATGTAGATATGTACACGTATGGCCATACAGGTATATCGATAAATATGTAAACATGCAGTTGGTTGCGGCACGTTTCGCCACAGCGCCAGCCCAGAATCATGAAGGGCGGTTTCTCGAGGGGTCCCCGGAGGCCGTCATGCGTGACACCGCCTGTATGCAGGTTTGGGGAGGCACGTGATGATGATGGTGGGGATGATGAGGCGAAAGCGGAGGTGGAGGAAGAGGAGGAGGATCAGGAGTAGTAGTTGTAGTAGTTGTAGTAGTAGTAGTAGTAGTAGTAGTAGTAGTAGTAGTAGGAGTAGTCGTAATAGTAGTAGTTGTAGAAGTAGTAGTTGTAGAAGATGTAGTAGTAGTAGTAGTAGTAGTAGTAGTAGTAGTAGTAGTAGCAGTAGTAGTAGTAGTAGTAGTAGTAGTAGTAGTAGTCGTACTAGTAGTCGTAGTCGTAGTAGTAGTTGTAGTACTAGTAGTAGTACTAGTAGTAGTAGTTGTAGTAGTTTTAGTAGTAGTAGAAGTAGTAGTGGTAGTACTGGTAGTAGTAGTAGTAGTAGTAGTAGTAGTAGTAGGTGTAGTAGTAATAGAAGTATAAATAGAAGTATAAGTAGAAGTAGTCATATAAGTCGTAGTAGTGGTAGTAGTAGTAGTAGTAGCAGTAGTTGTAGTAGCAGGAGTGGTGGTAGTAGTAGTAGTGGTAGTAGTAGTAGTAGTAGTAGTAGTAGTAGTAGTAGTAGTACTGGTCGTAGAAGTAGTAGTCCCAGGAGTAGTAGTTGTAGTCGTAGTAGTAGTAGGAGTTTAAATAGCAGGTAGTCGTAGTAGTAGTAGTAGTAGTAGTAGTAGTAGCAGTAGTCGTAGTCGTCGTCGTAGTAGTAGCAGTAGCAGTAGTAGTAGTAGTAGTAGTAGTAGTAGTAGTAGTAGTAGTAGCATTAGTAGTCGTAGTAGTAGTAGTCGCTGTCGTATTTGTAGTAGTAGTAGTCGTCGTAGGAGTAGTATTCGTTGTAGTAGTAGTGGTAGTAGTGGTCGCCGTGTTCGTAGTAGGAGTTGTAGTAGTAGTAGTAGTTGTAGTAGTAGTAGTAGTAGTAGTAGTAGTCGTAGTCGTAGTCGTAGTACTAGTAGTAGTAGTGGTAGTAGTAGTAGTTGAAGTAGCAGTAGTGGTAGTAGTAGTAGTAGTAGTAGTAGTAGTACCAGTAGCAGTCGTAGTAGTAGTAGTAGTAGTAGTAGTAGTAGTAGTAGTAGTAGTAGTAGTCGTAGTCGTAGTCGTAGTCGTAGTAGTAGTCGCAGGGGTAGTAGTAGTAGTAGTAGTAGTAGTAGTAGTAGTAGTAGTCGTCGTAGTCGTAGTCGTAGTAGTAGTAGTAGTAGTCGTCGTCGTCGTCGTCGTCGTCGTCGTCGTCGTAGTAGTAGTAGTAGTAGTAGTAGTAGTAGGAAGAGCAAGGTATGGTTCCTCGCCATTTTTAGCGGAGTTGTTTGGAACTCGTTCGGGTCGCTTGTGGGTCGTATTGACATCCTTGAAGCAGTGTTGGGCGTCATTTGGGCCTTCCCCGGCCGTCTTGGGGCTCTCTTGACCGTGTGGTAGGTGTCTGTTGGCCGTCGTTGGGCCGCCTTGGCGCCGTCTTGGGCAGTCGAAGCCTTGTCGCCCCATCAGGCTGCTTTGGGGGGGCTCTCTAGCGCATAAGGGACTGGTTCCCCTCCCAAACCCACAAGGCACCTCGTCGATCAATTTAAATCAGCATGCTGCGTTTAGGTGCCCCCGACGGCCAGGATGGGCGCGTGCCCCGATCCTCGGACTAGGATGGGCCTTGCCAAGGTTGGTGTGGGCACAGTGCCCCGACATCCGACGAGGTTTTTTTTCCACGCGCTGTCTTCCCATGCGCGTGACACCCGCATTTCCCACCACCCTCACTTCACCTCCCCTCCTCTCTCCTTCTGACAACTGCGTGACTCGATTTGCGGTTCATACCATCGGACAAAAGGCCACGTCCTTCTATGATCCATAACCCGATCCCACGTTCTCTCTCTTACTTCTTCTCTTGCTTGCCATCAAGAGGTGGGCTGTGGCATACATCGATACGTCGCCGACATGTTCTTAAAAGTCGGGTTCTCAGCTTCTAACCTCATGGTGAAGCCAGTACCCTTATTCTTCACTCGGTAGCGGAGCTGGTTACTTTTTCGTGTGGTTGGCTCTTACACCAGGCGTTATGTACATAGCAACTTGCCACGGCACAGTGGAGAACCCGACTGCGCCGGCTTTCAACCACCGCAGCCCCAAAACCGCATGTATACACATATACATATATATATACATATATATATATATATATGTATATATATACATATATATGTATATATATATATGTATATGTATATATATATATCCGCATGCTGACGGCCAGGTCAAGCCAAACACCCAGCCGCATGCTGCCGCTACGGCTGGGCCCTATCAACAGGCTCGCGCCTCGACCGCCGCCGCGCATTCATTGCATGGCGTTGCGCTGCTAGGTTGCATTGCGTTCCGTTGTTCGCCATCGCATGAACAAAACGTACAAACCACACCAGGATTATATATATATACATATATATATATATATGACAACATGCGTGGAACACTTCAATATATCAAGTTGCAATTCAACAGTGTGGGTGTCCTATTTTTTAGCACGGCGCGATTGTCATATCCAGGCTCGATTCATAATCGATGCTCTTTTCATGGTCGTTATTTTTTTCGATGCTCAAATGTGTGGGGGTGCACCACAACAATCAGCCAGGGGATCTCGTGGACTACCACTGCCCGGCTTCTACCAAGGACGACTGGGGTGGATGGAGCGCGCCGTGCCCCAACGCCCGTGCTTGCCTTGACCGTGGTCAGGCAGTAGTGCAGGTCGGCGGTCGGGAAGTCTTTGCGCAGTGCCCAGACGGCCATAGTGGCCCGCGAGATCGGCCCGGATACTGCGGCAACGCGAACAGCATTGGACTTCGTCGCGAGCTTGCCCGCGGGGAAACCTGCCCTGGTCTTGCCGACCAAGCAAGGGAACTGCGGATGGCCACGGCGTGTCGGCCTTCGCCCAATGCGCGCTTAGCCCTGCAGTACTTCGTCGGAAACTATTTTAGGATAGAAGACGTTGCAACTGTGCGTTTGGCTAAAAACATCCACAGCTCACCGGCAGCACCCTTGCCCTTCTCACTACTACGAGTCAAAATGTGCCACGCCCAAGATTTACGACAATCGTGGGACCGCGGGTTCACGAATCATTCATAACCTAAGGACATGAAGAGTTCTAGCAGGTTTTGATGAGGATCTCTTGAATTTTGCGGACCTGGCGGACACGCCTGCGTCGGGCGGCCACGCCCAAGAGGAGGATGGACCTCCATCGCCAGCCGCGCACGACGACAGGCTACCGACGATCAAGCAGTGGCGAAGCATCCCGGCTTGCCTATAGGCCCACCAAAGAATGTTCCAAGACCTCGTCGCGCTTGCACGAAATATTATTAGAACATTTGTGCTTGATACTGTCTCGGTTTATCGCATCGGGTTCAAGTTCTAAGAGCGCGCTTTTTTTATTTAGAAAAAATATTACAACATGTTTCGGTTCGAAGAACATTTCGTGGTCGGGCTGTAAAAGTGCTGCGTCGGTCGGTCCCTGCTCAAGACTAGTGCTGAAGAGACAGAAGCGATTTGGAAGCGCGCGTCGCGGGCGCGTGGTGCGCAGAGCTCCAAGTGCACGCGGATCTGCTCGAGACCCCCTCATGGGAGTCCTTGTGCTCTGTGCCGACCAGAATGGCCACCAGCAGCCACGCGTTCCAAGCCGTTGCGAGTGACATGCAACGACACTTGTAAGACATAGGTCATGCTCGGAAGCGTGGCGCCGACGAAACCTCCCCGGCGCCTTGGGCCACTGAGTGCGACGAGGCGACCACGGTCAGTATGTTGAGCTGTGCTTTACTGCTGATATGGCTGAGGTTGTTCTATCTGATCAACAATGCTGCGAGTTACTACACAGCGGCGGAGCAATCGTAATGCGCGTCTATGCCTCAGCCGCAGCTGAAAGAGCCGTGGCCGCCAAGGAAGGCGACCGCCCGACAAGGGCAGGAACGCGAGCCACCCCGACCCAATATCCAAAGTTTTGTGCACTGCTGCTAAATGGCATGGTAAACACGTGCTATGCTCATAGCTCAGAACATGGTATCTTAACACATACCCTCAATATGGTATGCTAACACATACTTGAATCTGCACGACATCAAGAGTGCTAATATACCATGGCCGCCAGATTTGTGTGCCAGTGGAATTTCGCCACCAGCGACAACGGCGAAATGGATTTAACAATTAGGCGACGCCTTTTTATTGGTGGCTTCGTGGGTGTCGAAGCATTCGGCATAGTAGCCTTTTCCAGGCACAGCTCGCCGAGCAAGCCAGATGATGCTCGCCAGCACATTTGCGTGCAAGAAACAGTGGATCATGGCATCCATGGTCATCGATGAGGATTTGGCAGAAGCCATTGGAGAGAGTGGCGCGTGGTTTGCTTTATGTTACAAACCCGCTCAGTCTCGGTGCTACGCGCATTGCGGATTCTCGCCCCATGACGAGTCAGAACGTTGTCTATAGTGCCTTGAGCCAGGCACGGGCGCCCAAGACGCCGACGCCCCTGGGGCATTCTCATTGAAGCTCAGAACTATCACGCGAGGAGTCGGGCTAAAGATTACGCCGCAGGATGCATACTTTCGGACAGCCCAAACTTCCTGGCAGCCCAGCACGTCGACGACATAAACATGGCATGAGCAGGCGACACTATTGACACATGCGTCAAATCTGCAG